CAGTTCTCGCACCACTTGACGGCTTAACATCACTTACACGCCTTAAACGCCTCAAAGACAAGACCATACTACTTCGTTATGGCTACTTTAACAAAACATTAAGCTAATTTGACAAAACGTTAAAACTAATTATTTAGCCGCAATACATAAGCAAGAGATACGTTAATTGGCCAAGACTTCCGCTAAGTTGACAGGCGTGAAAATTGTCAATGGAATATGTGGCGATTGTTGTGAAAGCGCAACAATTAAATGATAAATGACATTAAATGCTTGTTCTTCGTTCGCTGTTAAATCAACACAATGTCGCAATTTAGAACAGAAACAGAAGCCATACAAATCGATCGTTTCTAGTACAATCGTTCGTTTCCTGCAGGCGTAGTCTGCCCGCACTTTGCCACAAAAAAGCCTTTCACAATTTAATGACAAGTGTCAAGAGTACTAAAAGCAACAGAACAATAATCATTCTTTCCATTATTATTATTTTTATATAACAGGATTATTTTGTGTATTTTATATTTGGCTTATTATTCATAAAGTTCACTCACTGCTATATTTGGCCTTAAGCCGCAATGACGTCAAGGAATTCCTTTGACAAAAACGGTTCATAGAAGTTCAAATGTACGGATCAAGCACAATAGGTGTTAAGTGTATGTATGTTCAAATCTATTCTTAGACAATTCTGTTAATTTTAACATTAAATGTTAAAACACTTAAAGCATTTTGCTATTTTAAGGAGGTTATGACTTTAATCAAAGGTAATAAAATATATTTGTCACTGTTTTGTTTTTTTTGTTTTTTTTTTTTTGGTTCTTTAAATGCCGCTTTATTTGTTTATTTAAGGTTTGTTATAATTTTATTTTTTCTGCTTAATAATTTTTACAATTGAATTCCTTTCAGTGCTTTTATGTCAATGTTAAATTCCAATTAAAAATGACTTAATACTGTGGGACAAGTTAATTGTAACAAAAGCTTATGTGTGTGTACCTCTGCAATTTTATACTTAAAAGGCAGTCTGTCCGTTTGACCAATAGAACAACAAAAGCTTCGTTTATGAAAATTGCTTAGTAATACGATCGCCTATGCGAAGGTGTTTATAATTCAATGTTAGTGCTATTAAATCTTTTGTCTTGCACTACACTCCATCATATGATACATTAAGTTCATCTGACATAATAGCTATATATATACACTATTATTATTTTTAATGTTATATGAGATTTAGCTTCATTTTGTACTTAATAATATAGTTGTGATATTTATACAGTAAATCATTGCTGAGTTGGGATTAAAAAATTTATTTACTTACAATAAAGTATATGATATCATTAAGCACCGGATCTAACGCACATTTGTGCTACACTGACACCAAATGAGTCATTTCTAATAGGTCATTTCTAATAGGTCATTTCTAATAGGTCATTTCTAATAGGTCATTTCAAAGCATTTACTCTCGCCATTCTCTCATTTTATTGTTGGTTTAGAAAAAGACTTTTTCTTTGGATTATGTTATCTTTCTATCACAGGATTATTTACTTTTTTATATTTAATATTGTTTACTATTTAATATATTAATATTTGTAATATATTAATAATATTATTTAATAAACATTTTCAAATTATATGTACAAAATGCATAATACTTGTATATGAAAATGCAATTTTATGTGTCAAATTAAGAGCTTTTCTTAGTATATTTATTCTCAACAAGATAAGCTTTTTGTGTTCAGAGTAGATATAGACAATTTCATTAGCTCGTTAGTTAGTGGACCTCTCAAAATGAGTAATTTGAGACTAGAGTAGATATAGCCAATTTCATGGGTTTATAAGTTAATGACATCAACAACCTTCGTAAAGAGATGTAAAAATCATTTGGAACAGATATGAGATAACAAAAGCTGTTTAAATATTTTTATTAATTTTACAATTTTGCATTCCATTATACTCGGTTTTTGTTACGTCAGTTCATGACTAATGGTCGTCGGGCCAATATAGTCAAAATTGTCATTACGAAGTATTTAGAAATGCTCAAGAATTTTTATACCAGCGAATAGGATTAAGTTCAGCAAATGATACTGCTGCAGTAATGTATAATTGTTACGATATAAAATAAAGATCGTAACGCTAATGGCATCACTCGAAATAGGAAGTCGAGTAAACGTGTGTGAAATTTATATAAATGAAAGTTTAAATTAATTATGAGTAATGTTTTTGAGAATATCTAATAATTGACTAATAAAGTAACAGAAACAGAGAAACTTAACAAAAATAGAGTTCAAGTCCCCAACAAAAAATTTCTTTAAATTTCCAATACTCGAAGAATTTTCCAATGTTGACCAGTTGATAGAGTAAAGATTAAAGGTTTGATTTTATAAATAAAATCAATAAATTCTGGTATTTGCAGTTGTTAGTATGGGGCCAGGACAAAATAAATCTGGATTACTTCCTAAGTATCTTAAAATTTCGATATTTAGTACCGATATATACCATATATCAGAGCTATACTAATACTTATAATAGTTATAGTACATACTAATACTTATAATACATTTACTTATAGTACAAAGTACATTTCCGAGTTTATTCAACTAACAATTCGCATTAATGAATTTTATTATCATGGATGAAATAAGCTTACACTATCAATAAACCATATTCAAAACTTAGAGCCTTTCGTATGATGCGCTCTTTAAGAAGGAAGAAAGGAAGGGAATTTGAGAAAAGATGTCTAAGAGAAAAATGTTTGTATATTAATTTAAGTTTGTTGATGACATGAAGTTCATATCTCTTTAAATAATAATTATTTGTTAACCCTTTAGAACATTAATTTTGGTAATTTAACTTCTTATTGCTGGAGACCCAGATGTCTAGAGCGTAAATTGTCTCCAAGTGTTTGTATAATTTACTTTTGCAATTATACTTTTGAAAGTTCTGTGATTGCGCAAAGCTAGCATTGTGTAAGTGATTTTAACAAAATATCCTTCGAATCATTTTAGTCCTAAAAGAAAATTCGCTAAACAAATATAAGGTTACTTCTTAATCAGTGTACGAAAAATTGATTAGGTCAAGACTGGCACTTGATAGGTGCTACTTGGAAGCAGAAAAAATAAACATTAACTGATTCATTAATTTTTTTGATTCAACCAAGTAACATTTTGAAAAGACGATTGGTGGTTGATATGTGGGATTATTTGAAATTAGGTTTTGTAGTTTGACTTTATTCATTACTTATCATTGATCGTGAAATTTTTTTTTTAGCTAATTTTTAAATTAAATTATGAATGGAATTATATTAAACAAAACTAAAAATTATATATTTACATAAGTAATGCATGTAATTGGTCGGTCATTTCTATATAGCTGTCACTTCAAAAGTTTCTAAATATTAAACTTTTGCCAATAATCTATTATTAAATTTATTTAAAATATATTTAAGGTTCGACTGAGTTAAACAAATCCTTTTTAATATTTTGTAAAAATAAAGATAAATTATTTTTACTTTCCCGATTTAAACAGAAGCATAGTGCATTGAATAAAGTCATTAAGGTCGACTTAACATTTTTTTATGCAATTTAAATTTATCTACTTTCAAAGCACTTAATTTAAATGTGATTGTTCTTGTCATTTCAAATATTGGCAATTGTTAGAACTGTAAGCCACAACAAACAAAAAAACAATCTAGTAAATACATATGATCTAAAAACTCGCCCACTTAATTGCAGCCTGGCACGCCGAGATAAAGGCAAATCCAAAAACGATCTCGTTGTTGGATTGTTGGGGTGTTGCTTAGACGTATATGATTAAAGTGCACATCGTTGATATGTTGACAATCAGATTGGCTATATTATAGTCAATGCAGCAAAATTAACTTTATTACTGCCGGATGTTGTTTTTGTTATATTACATTTAATATATTTTTTTTTATTTGGAATATATTTATTAATAATAGAGTTTTTAATAAAATTTATTTAAAATTTATGAATAACATACACATATAGAATATTATATATATATATATGTTTATAGGAAAGTATTTTATTCATAAATGATTTGTATGAGTTAATAAATTAAAGTTCTTGCAAATAATATGTAAATTAGTTTCAATTTTATGTGAAATATTTATAATATAACTGCACAGTTATTGGCATATAAATAATTTTCAAGAGCATAAAATCGTTATAACTTTTTTTTAATAACAATTCGTAATGGTTAAAATGGCGTTAATTCAAGCCACGTAATGCAAATTATATCAATAATCATACATGAGAAATATGGCATAGTAAGCGTCTGAGGCGAACTAATGCAAAAGGTTTGTGTCTTAAGTCTTTTGATTTATATGCCGAATGAATTAATAACCTTAAAATAGTTGACTATTATTACTTTATTATAATAACTAAGTGCAAATAAAACATTTATTAATATGTAATAAGATTCATTATTACTTTATTATAATAAGTAAGTGTAAATAAAACATTTATTAAAATATAATAAGTTTCAATTGAAATGAAGTGCTAATTAGTCAATACATAAAATATTAATGAATAAAATATTCAGTTATGGAAAGAATAAATTTAATAAAAATGCATTTAATATAAATAATAAATTTCAAGTAAAAATTTATTGTCCATTTTTCATTTATTATATTTAATTCATTGCATAAATTCCATAAAAGTAAATATATATAGCGCATATTAAAATTTAAACTGACATTAAATTTTTGAGATTTATTCGAATAATAATTTATTTGACATATAAACTAAATCATAAAGCAATAACATTAACAATAAGAGTGTAAATACTATACTCTGGTAATAAAATTTATTATTTGTCAGTGTAAGATATTATAAACTGTTTTTTTTTAACACTTACTGGCAATACAAATGCATTCAACACTAACTGAAGTAATAAGATGTATGATATTGTTTTGACATTTAACATGAATTTTTTTAAAATGGTGCTCATTTTATTTACAGATGCTGACTAGAGTGCCGGTTATAGTTGCACGACCGATGAGAGGATCGGCGGAGAGTGATCTCATTACAGGAAATGAATTTCTTAAAATATTTCTTGAACGTGATGATGCACTCAGTAGCGCAGAGTCCACGCCAAAAACCAATGGCATTAGAACAATACGCAGGAGTGAACCTGACCAAAATAGTGAAATTGGTACACAGCACAATAGGAACACCCATAAACGTAATGTAGATCAAACGGAAAAGGGAGCAAATGCAAATTTCAAAAATGCAGATGACAAACAAGTTGTTAAGTATGTTACATCTGGTAGTAAAATTATATTTCTGGAAGAATATGATGATGATGATGCAGTTGTAGATGCAGTGGCACGTGAAATTGATCTACAGAAGGAGAAAATTAATACCAAAAATAGTTCTCAACAGAAGCGACAACCAACAAATAAACAACAAACACAAAAGTCACAAAATAATGATGAAATAAAGGTTGTTGCTGTGAGTGTTTCATCGTCAAGTAAACGTAGTAGTGCTGGCAGTGTGAGAACGTCAGATGAAATTAATAAAATTGCAGAAAAAACGAAACATGCAATAACGCACGCTGTTAGCAGTCAACGACTACAAAATAAACAAGTTGTTACCAATACAAAATCAACAACAGTAAAACCCACAAACATTATAGTAACAACGACAACGAGAACGACAACAGCAACACCAACACAAACCGCAACAACAACGAAGGCAGTTGCCAGTTTGCATAGCACAACAGCAACACCAATGACAGCGGTCGACTTCATCAATCGTTCACATAAAAGTGAATTTTCAATCGAGGAAGCCGAACCATTGACAGTGCTGAAGCATAGAGCACGCGTCAATTCAGCTGCCAATTTAGATACGTTTTATGACACGGATTCAGTGAACAGCGCTTCAACGAATATACGTAATGTCTTAGCAGCTCCAGCAGCCGTACAACCACTTTCGGTGCAAACTGGCGCGTATCACAGTAGCAACAGAAATTTCACGTCTCATAATCAGTCGCACATTAATCAGGCTACGCCTTCAACACATGAACAGGCTGGCACGCACGTTGATAATAGCGCCGCTGTTGGCGGCACAGCAACAGGTAGCACATCAGCACAACCTACTGGTGTGGAAGAAAAATTATTGCCATTTCAAACAGTCATCTATCATGACACAAAGGAAGGCCATGGACCACAGTCAAGATCAATATCATACAGTTCGATTTCACAAAATGTAGCCGATTTGCATACATGGCAACAGTCTGGTGGTATACTAGCAGAAGCACAACGTAATGTTAGCGAAAGTTTACGTCCTATACCACGTCCTCGTTCGCATGTACATACATCGGAACCAGCAAAGTTCTATTCAGAACCAGCGAAAATGTATGGCGTACCTGCTAAATTCTATTCTGAGCCTGCAAAAGTCTATTCAGAACCAGCTAAAGTCTATGGTCAACCGGAAAAAGTGTATTCGGAACCGGCTAAAGTTTACGGGCAACCTTCAAAATTTTATAGTGAACCAGCAAAAGTATACTCTCAACCAGCAAAAGTATATAGTGAACCCGCGAAAACATATTGGCCACAAGCACTTAATAAGGGTAGCAGTACAACAACAAGTACTACTACAACCACCACCACAAAATCACCCGATACTAAAAGTAATTATTTACATTCCACACGCCGTCCAGCAATAGTTTCACGCATAGCATTTGGAGAATCACATACAACACCATCAACACCACAAACCATTCCACGACAACATCCATATACTAGTACTCCCACATATCAGCAAAGAGTGCAGAATAATCCAGTAAATTCCCAGGCACGTCGTGTATTATTCAATTTAGATAAATTACCTTACGATTTATTGAATGCTCCCCAACAATCATCGAAGCATCTTTTAGACTCGAATCAGTCCAAAACCCCACAGCCGCCAGCAACAAATTATGGCTTGAATAGACAACGGCCATGTTCGGAGTTAAATGCGTCAACTTTATCAAACGTGCAACAACAACAGCAGCCACATCAGCATAGACATTCATCACTGTCGGATCAACATTCTAATCAAAATGCCAAAGGATTGCCCAACAGAGGAGGTAAGCCCCTTGTTACTTTATTTATGGTTTTCTTTTTGAGCTGGTATGTTGCGATTTAGGTAAATTTTCCTATCATAAATTTGTGAAGCATTATGATTTTGTTTAAAAAGAAAAATTTATTAACAAATTTTTTATATATGAGATTTTAAACTGAAGATGACTAACTTTACAGTGGGAAAAAAATAATGTTTAGTAAAAAACGAATCAAATTATTCTTTATATTAGGAATGTACTATATAAATTATTTTTAGATTAATTTAATATTTACCTAAGATTTCATAAAATCCACACATAAATATTAATAGCATTAAATGAAATGATAACTAATATTACTGAGTCTTGTGATACCACTATCCCCATTGACGTAACAGTCTTTGTAAAGTCTAAACCATCTATTTTTGTTGTTTTTTGTTTTTGTTTTCCAGTTGATGACACTTATTCTGTATATGTGATTATCACTCCACCATAAACCAATTTTTTCCCTTATTGTTACCTTCTTTAGTTTTCCGTTAAGTTGCCGACAAAAATTTTATTTTGTAGGCTGTCTTCCGATATCCTAACAATATCCATACCACATCATTTCAAACTTTGCTTTTTAAAGAATCTTATAATGCTACCTGCGTTCATCAATTGATATAGCTCATTTTTGTAAGTTATTTTGTACATCCCATAGCTTTGTCCTTTCAAAAACCAATTTTTGGTCCTGTTAGCTGTACATTAAATTTCTTACCAATTTATTTTATATATCTTCACAGGATTTCGGTATATAAAATTTTTTGTAAAAATTTCGGTTTTATTTATCAGGTTATTATGAGTAATGAGTAATGAAAACTACGTTTTCTTACCAGTAGGTCGCACTTGAGCGGATAAACAACAGCTACTCAAGTAATACTTGGACAACGACTGAACGTTTGTAAGTTGCATAAGTCACTCCCAAAAAAATCATTGCTGGCTATTGCCCAGTGCGTGGCATCAAGAATGATAGGCCCAGAACCATTCTGTGGTCTAGGTAAAGGAGCTCTATCCATTATTATGAATGACCCAGAGAAAAAAGAGAGAGAACTCAATTGGTTAATGCTACCAAGACTCTCACAATCTAAAATGCTTTTAGGGACTTACAACCTAAAACGCTTTAAAGATTGCATAGTACAATCAAAAACTAACATAAGAATTATTACGGGATTACTGACCGGTCACTGCAGATTGAATAATCACCTATCGAAGTTAGGAATTCAATCCAACTCAGACTGCAGATACTGCAGGGAAGAGAGAGAAACGGCATACCATGTGCTTGGGGAGTGCCCGGCACTGATGCATAAGCGAAAGAAACACCTAGGAGGGTACTTCATGGATCATAAGGATTCAAGACTGGGGAAGATAGGATCCATACTGTCTTTCATTAAAGAAATCGGACTTGGAGAAATACTCTAACCCGACAAAATGGCACAATAGATCTTTTAGGTAGCAGTACACGATCCCTTACTCAATAATAATAATAATAATAATTGCCCAGTGAGTGGTAATCGGTAAAGCTCCTATGTACGTGGATCATCTTTTTAAAATGTTTAAAAATACAAATTTTTCACTGTATAATATTGTCCATTAATAGAGTTTAGTGGTTTAAAGTTTAAAGTAATAACGGAGGCTGTATGTTCCACCTAAAGGGACAGAATTACATACATATTGTATATATCGTATAAAATTAAGAAGAACTTTAGGTTTTTATATTTTTCTATCATAATAAATTTTTCTAAATTAAATGTTCCTTTATAAATTTCCACTGTATTGTCAACTAACTTATTTTTATTTTTTTTTTACACTTTTATTCATTGCAACATATTTATAGTTTTTGTTTATTTATATAAATTTTTTAACATTTTTATTTGTTATTTATTTAAATTTTTTTTTTCTACAATTACTTTTCCACAGATCTAGTCAAGTGTGTTTCAAAATATGCTCATTCATCGGCGGCATCACCATCGGCAGTTTCTTCTTCAGCAACAGCACAGGCAACAGCGACGGGCAGTGGTGCACAATCACATTTTACAACTGAACGCAGTCACATTGAAGAGTTGTACCAGCCGACCCCGGAGCAGAATTACGAAATCGAAGAGTCCGTAAGTGTTATGACAAACGGACGAGCCCATGGAGTGCAAGGCATTAGCCCAGCAATAACAACAACTCCGGCCACGTTACACAGTCACTTCGGTGGACGCAGTGGCAGTACAACATATAACACCAACGCAAATACCAATGTTGGCAATGTTGAGAATGTTGCACATGGCAGGCAACAACAACAGCAACAACAGCAACAACCAGAACACAAACAATACAACAGTCACAATGACTACTATGATGAAGATGAAAATAGCAATCACAATCATAATGAAGACGATGTCGTAGATGGAGATGGAGATGATGTGGATGCTGATTCAGAGGATGGAGGTGGTAATCACAATAAAAATGGTAATGGTAATGGCGAAGATGAAGATGATGCCAAAGTTGCTTATGTTGTTGAGGGACGCAACTATCGTAAATATCGTGTCGAAGAAAAAACGGACGATGGTTTCATTGTTGGCGAATATGGAGTGGTCGACCACAATGATGGCAACTTACGCGGCGTGCGTTACACAGCAGACTCGACAATTAATCCAAGCCTAATACAAAAAGCTTTGCTGACATTTTTAAAACTAAAATAGAAATAAATTAGACGTGATATAAGCAAACGAAATGAACAGCTGAAGTCAAAGGTGTAAATCTTATAGTGTATTAAGTGAGTCCAATGTAGCAGGAGCAGCGCACAAAGTATTTAATATGTATTTTTTTTATTTGTATTTTTTTTTTGGAAATATTTATTTAAAAAAATCTTTTTTTTTATATTAAACGTAGAATTTAATGAAGACGAACAAAATATGTGATTCAAGTTGTACTGTCGGTTAATTTAAAGTTATAGCAAACCTACTAGACTAAACTAACGAACATTGTCCATTAATTAAGTCCATTGTGAATTTTATTTATTAAACTTGTAGTTGTTGTTTAATGATTTTTGATTTAAGTTACTTTTATTGCTTGTTATAAGATATAGTTCTAGTTTCGTATTATGTAAATTGTATCTTCATCAGATACTAGCAGTTGTTAACTACTTGCCATAATGTTCATAGCAAAGATTTAAAGTAAAGAGTAAATAGTGTCGAATTTCAAATGGAAGAAACTTAATTTAGTTAAATATTTTAATTAAATTCAGTACTAATTTAGTAATTGGTATAATTAAAATAATTAGTAAAAAAAATATTTTGAAAAAGATTTTAAGTATAGACTAAAACCAGTTTTAAAGAAATATAGTTTCTTTTAAATACATTTTAAACACATTACTTACATTTAAGGGATTTTTCACAATACTCGTTAGAATAATAAATATATTTAAATAAAATATTTAAGCACAAAATTATAATTTTAAAGTATACTATCATGAAATGTATAAAAATAAGTCCGGAGAAGTGTAATATTATAGAATAGTAAGTCTAAAAAGATATTTAATGTTAACGAACTATATGGTACATATTGAGTATGTTCTTTTCTCCAACTGCTTTCTCTTATATCAAAGTACTTAATATTTCTGAAGTGTTTTGGTACTACCAATAAAAATCCTATTAATAATTTTCTATTATAATTTTCTCTAAACAAATTTTTACTTAAATAGTTAAGTATAAAACATAATTATTTAAACACTACTTAAATATTTCAACATTATTTTAATAATTAATCAAGCATTTTAAACAATCCTTTGTGCTTCATAACATCATCTTTTCAAATAGTGTTCAATTTTACTTAAAAAAATTTTAAGTATTGACACTATTACTGTAACTCTAATTTAATTCCGACTTAGTGTTTAAATAATTAAAAATAATGTCGTAAATTCTTTGAATAACTTTACTTTTAATTAGTTTTTATGCACTTTTTTATATGTTTAGTTATATTGTTCCTTTCTAAAACAAAGCCAATTAAACTATTTTAAAAAATTTATTTAATAAGTTCATAGCAAAAAAAAAAAATAATTAAAATCAGATTCAGTCGTATGGCTACAACAAATCTGGTAGATATAAAAATTCATAAGAACACTGCAAGCCTAAAATTATTTATTGTAACCATCATAGTCTAGATTTAGTCTTATATCTAGTTTAATTTAAATGCACACATATAATTAATGATTTGTGTAAATAATGTACATAAAGTTATCTGTACTTAATAATTATCATAATAGCAATAAAAAGTCAATAATCCAACAAATAAAAATATTCATTAAAAAAATTTATCACAAAATGATTGTTTTATTTCTGTCATTATTAATTCCAAGTACTGAAATTTACTTTTGAGTTTTGACTTTTCGAAAATTACCCATTAATCACAATAAAGTTTTTACATTGAACTCTGATCTTTTACTTTTATTTTACCACAAAATTAGATTTTAATAAAATGATTAAAATTTAAGTGCAATTCATAGTTTGTATTTAACTTTTCAGAACTGTTTACATCAATATATACTCGTTTATTGCTCAAGTGCTCAGATATGGATGTACTCGTATTTAATATGGATTTTAGTGTTTTAAATATTATTGAGGCTACTCAAAGCTTGAAGGTTTTTGACATTGGAATATTTGGAATATTCGATCAAATTGTACTTTCTATAATAGCACTTTCTATTAAACGCATTTGTATAAAACAAAATGGAAATAGAATATAACATAAATCAGATTTGCTGTACAGTTGCTCAAACGTCATCGAACATCATTCAACATCATCGAACATCATCGAATTGAAATATTCGACCGTCTTTAAACACTTTCTATTAAACGCATTTGTATAAAACAAAATGGAAATAGAATATAACATAAATCAGATTTGCTGTACAGTTGCTCAAACGTCATCGAACATCATTCAACATCATCGAACATCATCGAATTGAAATATTCGACCGTCTTTAAACACTTTCTATTAAACGCATTTGTATAAAACAAAATGGAAATAGAATATAACATAAATCAGATTTGCTGTACAGTTGCTCAAACATCATCCAACATCATCGAACATCATCGATTTGGAATATTTGATAATACTGTCTTTAAGGACTTTTTATTAAACGGATTTGTATAAAACAAAATGAAAATAGAATATAACATAAATCAGATTTACTGTAAAGTTGCTTAACCATCATTGAACATCATCGAACATCCATGACTAACTCAAACATTTGAGGTATTCAGCTTAACTGCTCGAATTCTATATAATTCTTCGTCATAATGCTCGATCAATTTGAAGAACTAATTGAAGACAGTGGAATATGTTTTTTAGGACGAAGTTAAAAAAATTAAAGACTAGATATAGACTAGACTGGACTGTATTTGGAAGCATACAGTTGACTGCCAATTCTTAGTTGATTCATATTATGATGCTCATCGCAATAGAAAGTCTATTTTGCAATGTCAGTCCATTTTCCTAGTGTGACTCCAATTTCTCAGACGCAAGGATTTCACAACATATTTTGGGAACTGTTAATATTCTATGTAATTTTTATCCACTGTGATATATGTCGACATTGCTTGGTTTGTCAGATATCGCGCTCTAAACTTACAAACTTTATAATAATAGGTGTTATTTACTTATAGTTAAACATCACATGTACTAGTGGCCAGTAGATGGCACTTGTAACTTTCTCTAGTAAAATCATACAACTTTAAAGTCCGATATCGAAAAAACTAAACCGAATTTTAACTAAGTGCAGAATATTGATAAGTCGGTTCAGTATTATTCAATCACCAATTGATTATTTTGATTATTGATTTTTGAATTAAAGTTTTGAAAAATACTATGATCCTCAATCAATATTGACCCTCAATCAATCAATATAATTGCATAGATATTTTCGAGTGGTGCATATATAGTTCATCTCAAATCTATATTAAGTAGTAATTATTATTATTGGTAAAATAGACTTTTACATTATTTTTTGTTATTATTATGGCATGTTCTATAAATTACAATCACAATTTAAGAACTTAGTCTATTCACATATGTTTTCCAGATACCGCTATTGCGTAGGGTCGTCATCAAATTTCCATTCCTATCCAAAGCTGTTCTTGTGAATACTCGAATCATTTGAACGTCACATACAGTGGCTGATTAGACCAAAGCATCCTATTTCGGTGGTAGGTTTGCTACCTTACATAAAGGTTGATCCTGTGATTCCGAACCTGCTCAAGTCTTCATGTGACAATTATTGAAAAAAAAATTGCTTGAGATATTATAAATAAGATTTGTCTAGCTAACTATTTTTTTATCGGATTTTCACAAGTATAGTATCATGTATTAATGTTCTCTAAGTATTTTGTATAGCCACAAAAAAAGATCATTAATCTTAGAACTTTGGTACTAGTATATTAATTATATATAAAATTTATATAGTATTTATCATTTATATCCTAATTGTTTAAATGAATTTAAGGTGAGGTAATCAGTTGTATGAAATATATGTATGATTTCATATTTGATTTTATTTTTAAACTATCAAATGATTTAATTTATAATTTATTAATATAGTTCACATATATTCTGTTTGTTTTAAATTTCCTAATGGTAAGTTGATAACCGCAATAAATTAAGAAAAACTGTATGACATAAACATACAAGACTTTTCGAAGGCTTTCAAATAATTCAATTTGACTTTAATTAATTGATACAAGCGCAAAAATAAATCACAAATAAAATATATATGCTTTCATATTTTTTAAATATGTAATTATATAAATAATACATTAAAATAAATACATGATAATTTATTTTGTAGACAATATATCAAATTGTTAAAATGTTAAACAATTTGAATTAAATTCATTAGCATTTTTAATTAAACTTTTTTTCTTATTAAGAAAATTCTATTCGTATGATTCAATTGAAGATTGGTACAATATTGAACTACAAAATAGATAATATTACTTATAAAATGACTAATTTTACTTAAATATATTATGTCTATGATCTTTGGAGATTTTAGAAGTGAAGAAGTTCTCATATCATTTGAGTATTAAATATGTGGTTCTAGTTAACATACATAAATCTAAGTAGTATATGTATAATAGAAGTGAAAAAAAAATTTTCACTCACTGAAATACTAACTATAATAAAATGTAAAAAAAGTGTTTTCTTGAAACTATATTAAACAAAAAAAATTAAAAAAAAAATTCTCTATCTCATTTAGAAAAGTATTTTAATTAAACACTGAAAACATTCTCATGAAAAAGTAGGTTTATTTATTTTTCGAAAATCTTTTTTAATAAACAAAATTATATTTTAGAAAAAATGCTGCAAACATTGACTTA